TGTAGTAGAAGTTCACTCCATCATCACTGTACTGCAGCTTGTATGCCGTTACCCACTGGTTGTAAGTATTCCTTCCCTGTGTCGCTATACTTGTTAATCTGGTGTTACTGCCAAGAGCCACTTGAATCCATTGATTTCCATTATTCTGGCGAGCTGACCATCCTCCTTGTTTGCCTCCGCCAGCCTTAAAGTTCAATCTTCCTTGGATTGCTGCATGATTTCTATCCCATTCTGACGATGCAGTGATTTGAGCATCTTGAATGCGGCCACTTTCCATTCCAAGAGGTCCTGAACACCCTGCACATAGCCAAAGAGGAAAAAAAACAAGATGACAAGAATGCATTAATGAAGATGATTGACTAAGAAAAAGAACCTAAAATTCTTGACGAAGTAAGATAAATTAAAAAAAAATTTAAATACATGGAAATAATAAATAAATAAACAAATTCAGTTCTAATAGCACCATTTCTATTTATTGTCTTGGGTACTTAGATTAAAATGCACCCAACAAATTAAAAATGTTAAAAAAATTATTGTAAACAAAAGTGCAAAAAACAAATTAAATGCATCCTTAAAAGAATCATAAATTGAGGCTAGCCTTATAACAGCCTCTGATGTCGAGAGCCTGATATGGAGATGTAGGTCGTTCCCAAGAATAAATGTGACTTGAGTGTAAAAAAAAAAACCTAAAAATGTTTCTTCACATGAGAAAGAAAAATAAATCAAAAAAATCTGGTTCACATTTTCAATTGACATTTTAATATAAACATGTCTAAGTTTTCTTGCAATACGTTTTTACACTCAGTTAGATGCGAAAAGTAAGTACATGTTTCAAAAATCTTGAAATTTAATAGTCTTTAATTAAAGTACCCCTCAGTGAGATCAAAATATTTTGTGTATCATTTTCTTTAATTTTTGTTTTCAGTGTGTCTCCTTCTCCTAACCTTCCCTAGATCCAAGCACCAGAAGTATCTTTTTTTGAACCATTAAATTTGTGATTTCCCATCTGTCTTTATTTGACCAAGTTCCAGAAGTTGATTACCGCACTCAGAGGGAGTGATGTCAATTAAAGGCTCAATGTGAAAATCTCACATGGCAAAATGTCAAACAAATAATAACAGACTGCCTTACTCAATTCTTACGAAAACATAATTTTTATACAGAAATGATGGGGAATCAATGCGTAAATTATAGACTCAGTAGCACTCATGCAGACCATGCTGGTGGTTATAATTTCTCTGCATCAGAGCATTGCAAGTGGGTCAGAGAGGGAAAAAAAGGTGTGATTTGTGTGAACCCACAGGGCAAACTTCAATCCTGCAGGAATATTTGAGATCTGCTCCAAACACTCCTTGGAAGACTTTTGAGAGATCTGTTCTCTTCAAAGGATCTAGGTGAACAATTCTGCCAGGTTCCGTGCCTACAGGCCAGGTTCAGAGAAAAAGAAAACTGTCCTCAGTGTAATCTCAACAAAAGGGTTTTAACTTGACCCAATTCGACATTCTGTAAAACAAATTAGCCCAAAATAAAATGGTCAATTTTCATCTCTTTAACATTTTTCATACCTTGGCAACCGTAAAGCTCCATCCTTAGTGATATATGACGATACCATGCTGTTGGTCGGAGTCTGATATAACGAGCTTGGATTGGTGGGTTCAGCTTGTGATAAACAACACTGTCCCTGTCTCTATTTCCCTTCAATATCTGTCACATACAAAATGAACTTAATGCAGAAAATGGACTTAATTAGAAACATGTTTCTACTATGCAAA